TTCAGCAGGTGTGCTGTCAAAGCCTAACAAGGTATTTTCTTCACAGCAGATATAAGGTGAGCATGGCACTGGATAAAAGAAAGAGGAGGGCCACCGCTTCCAATCAGATAACTCGGACTGCACGACAGCCATTGAGTGATATCATCTGAAAAGACGAGACGGATGTGAACTGTTCAACCCTGAGCGAATCAGGACAGCCTTTTTGGATCACTTTGGACTTTTGATGCACCTTTAGAAGGCACCCGCAGAAAGAGACTTTGGTTTTGGATTAAAACCCAGGGGACTGAAGCACAGCAAACTAGAGACTGCAAGGACAGAGACTCGCAAAAGACGAACTTTGAGTCGCAGACGTCGAAATTCTGATTCCATGAGCTTTTAAAGGAGCATCTGTCACGACTTTGTGTATCAAAATTTATTTTCTCCAGCAAATATCTGTATCATCTTATTCTTGTAACTGCCAGTTTTCTATCAACACTGATCTTCTCTTGTATATGCCGTAGAATGAACGAGTACAACAAAACACAATCTGCAGTAACTAATACTAATAAAGTGAATACATTTTATTGTGTTTGTTTGACAGACAACTGTCCCAAAGATCAATATGATTATGTGAATTCATTACGCCGTGCTAACCAGGAGCATTGTGATAAACCTTATCTCTTCCATGTCTCTTCCTATCTGAACTTTTCTCCTAGCCAACTGCAAACACAGCAAGCGATAAGAGACGAGACATTTTTTTATAGTCTACTTCAAATATATGCTCAGATGAACTTATTAAGGAGATGACTGCAACCACAATGTCCTATTTGCTATTTTAGGAGCTCTGGATTTTGTTGATTAACTAAGCTAATTGATGAAACATGGTTGTAATTATGAATGTTTAGTGTAATTTCTATGTATCTGTGTAGTATTGATGACACAGTAATTTTTTAATATTTTAGAGATATATTAACACTTTAACTTTAAACATTTAATTGATATTTGAGGTGGCAGACTTATGCGAAAAACTAAATTTCCCATAATATTCATGATAAACTGCATAAATTACACATTGGTACTGAAAACCAATTAATTTTATTTTGACCGAATTACTTGAACCAACATCACATCACAGTTAAATTTACTAAACTATCCTAGCAGAAAAAAGCAAGGCTGTGTTTTAGATGCTTGGTTTCTATTTTTACTGCATTGCGGCACGTAGCCCCGCCCCCTCGGAATATTATCGGACAGAAATAGCGCTTCTTATGTATGTTAAAGGGGTCATAGGATGCCCATTTTCCACAAGTTTATATGATTCTTTAGGGTCTTAATGAAAAGTCTGTAACATAGTTTAGTTAAAATGTCTCAATGGTAGTGTAAAAAACACCTTTTTTACCCTGTCAAAAACAGCTCTTTTCAGAGCACGCAGTTTTGTAGCATTTTCCTTTAAATGTTAATGAGCTCTGCTGACCCTGCCCCTCTCTTCCGAGCTGCTCTCTGAGGGACTGTTTACTTTAGCCGCATTCATCGTGAAACTTGCTAATTAGCACATCATTAGGAAAGGCGATTTGCAAAGATTCATAAAAAAAAACCTTACACTCACTTCTTCTGCAGGTGAAGCTGGATCACGAATGATTTGCGCAAACATAGACACATTTATGTAGATTGGGGGCGCATTCTCTTCAAAAACAAACATAATCCACTGCGTCTTCAGCGGCTCAGATGTCGGGAGTAAATGATGACTGCTATGTTCATTATTGCATCTAACAACAGAAGACTTCAATCGCTTAGGAGTCATTCTTGTCTACAACTGCTCCAGCGGTGAAACAATGGTGGACTGATGACAGCTCACTCAGGGCGGGTCTAAGGTAAGACACCAGTCCAGTCTGTGCTGAAACACCACTGTCAATCAAACTATCGTGGGAGGGGCCTGTTTTTGTGATGTCACACAGACAGGCATCTGAGATCAGCTCGATTTAAAAAAGGGGTAAAGATTTGAGCAGATTAAACAAAAACCACTGGGTGGATTTTTATAATTTTAGGGTGGTTGTGTACACACACTGCCAACACACATTTCAGTTCAAACAACTTGTAAAAGTGCATGTAGCATCATACAACCCCTTTAAACACATGCCCTGCGTCCCAATGTTCATACTATCCATCCTAAATAGTATGTGAGATTAAAATAAGTGTGTCCCGAAGCATAGTATGCTGAAAAGAGTATGCCAGAAATCCCTGGATGGTCTACCATTTCAAGTAGATTTTTGAAGTGTGGATCCATGCACACTCTGATGGCTAATATTACCCATAATCCATTGCGCTTTGACGAATGATTCGGTTGAGAACAACAAACACGAATAAAAAGCATTAAAAAACTACAAACATGGCGGATGTGCGTGACCTTTAAGTAGAGAGGTTTAGATAAAGGGGTTTGAGTTGCTAATAATCAACATTTAACCTGTTAAAAATGTTTATTTAATGTTATCTGTGTTAGGATATTTCATCTACAACAACAATGTGAACTTTTATAAACATCCGTTTGGCCATTAACTTTTAAATGCATCATTATGCAAAAATATGAGCAGAGATCTCTGCATAAAGACCCACGGCTGGCAGATCAACGTGCTGCTTCATTTCTCTCCAATATGCTAGGAAGAAAATGAAATGAAATGTGGACAAGATGATTGACAGACCAGTTTACATTGACAGGATGTGTGTATTTATGCGACAGAGCAGACCGTTAAAGACGCAATTGTATATAGTATGTCCCAAAGCTTGCCTATACTCTTCTACTACACACTCAAAAGTGTGTACTTTTTCTTCACCAAAAGAGTACGTACTTTAAGGGTGTAGTGTAAGTAGGCACATTGGGACGCAGCAATAGACTGCATGGAGGAGGAGATACTTGATTGTAGAAGGTAAGATTTTTAAGCATCAAATAATTATCTAATTTCTTATTCGTGCAGAACTCTTTCTCTAAGATGGCTGAAATTATGGAGGCTGCTGTGTCAGGTTTTGGCATATCCAAAGCAAACATCACTTACGCAGACACACACATTATATCCAAACCACAGTGATCTCTTTAGACCAAACTGTGCACTAAACGGTCGCCCAATCCATGTCTGTTTGCTCCAGAAACTTTGATGGGGTTCCTTAAATTGGCCGGCATTGTTTCAAAATTAGAGCTAATTATAGTTACTTGACTTCTAAGTACAAGTGTTATGTGATGAAAATGTGTGGGTGTGATTCGTATACTTATACCAACACGTCCGCACTGCTTCAAAACCTAGTGAGCTGTCTAACAGGTGCACTTCTGACATGAAGTCTGTTCCAAAAAGACAGTGCACTCGATTATAATGTTGAACTATTGATTGTTTAAATGCTGATGAATTAAAAGTGTACGATTTTAGCCAGTTTGCATGTGCTGTGCAATTTGCATCTTAGAAACATGCTAATGTTAAGGCCAATCTTCCTTCGGCTTCTTGTAAGGAGCGCTATTTGTGGTGTTGTGTATTTTTATGCTGATTATTACATCATTAACAACATGCTAATATTAGGCTCTGCTGGAATTCATTTTGAGTTGTCTTCCATTTGTTTCTTGTAAGGAGCACAAGTTGTTTTGCATACATTTTAAAAAGTGAGGCAGTTCACAAAGTTGTGAAACTAAAGCTATAGTCTGAGCTCATTTAGCCTCCAAAAAAAAAGAAAGTGAGATAGAAACGGAAAAGAGAGATCTGTTTCACGTAATTTGCGTTGAAGTACAGAAGCTTAATTCAGCGGTTAAAACTCTGTCATGTGTGAAAATCAGGTTGATTGTGGTTAATAGTGTAAATTACAGAATGGCCTTTTCTAGACTGTCAGATGGATTCGGGTTTCTGACCTCAGATGGAAGGAAACAAAGGAAAGGATACAGGGAATTTGTTTCTCAGACTCACATTTCAACCTATTTTTCTTTCTTTCATTCTCATTTTCCCTCTCTCTTCTGAAAACCTTCTTGCGAGTACAATAAACAACCACTTTATTTGTTTTATCCTTACCTCAGCAACTGGCATCTTTTGATATCGTAGAGAAAGTTTCTCCTCCAGGGTAGAATTGAATATAGCCTCTATAACACAACGTGATTGTTCTTAAAGAAAATGGCCTTTGTTTAAAAAAGTGTTGATCTGATATGAAAGATACAACGCTGTGAATCCGGGCCTCCAGGCAGGTATGTCCATTTCCTGTTTTAAGCTATCCCACCTGGCGGCTTCCTGACTGAAGGGCTACAAGTAATCTCACATCTTTTGTCACAACATACCTGAAATTGGTTCAACAGAGTATTCTACGGTTACTGCAGTCATACTAAGGCAAGAAGCTACTCAAAGCCATGCTTTACAATGATTTTATTATGTTTAATGTGGTAACAGATAGCTAGACCCCTTTGACTGTGGTAAAATCACTGAAAAAGTTTCTGCCATGATGCAAGGTGTTTGTTGGGGTGTTCTAAATGATTGCTAAGTAGTCAAAGGTGCTCAACAGTGTCTGTTAAATTCTGGTCTCTAAATATGGCTTGGGTACATCCTCAACTGCAAGTCTTTTTCACCCAGTCTATCATCAACCATACAATAAACATAAGATCAAACGTAAGATCAAACATATCGTAAGATCATAACGTAACAACACACCTCTCTTTTAGGTGCCAAAGTTTATACTTTGAAGGGTCAAGGGGTTGTTCAAATAGTCACAGGTGTGCATGTATCATTTTCATTATAAAAAATCTTTTAATCAGACTCAGATTTCAGAACCAAAACTGTTAATTTTTTTAAAGCTATCTATACTCCCATAAGATGTTTAAGATGCAACACACTCCCATGACAATACATAAGTATTTTACAAAATATATAAAATTCATACAATCTCATTTGTACATTTACATACAATCTGATCACGCCCCTCTGAGGGTTAGATTTAGAAGACATTTTACACACAAATAGTATGTCAAGTCAAGTCAAGTCACCTTTATTTATATAGCGCTTTTAACAATACAGATTGTGTCAAAGCAACTGTACAGCATTAATTAGGAAAATAGTGTGTCAATAATGCAAAGTGACAATAGTAAACACTAATTTTTCAGTTAAAGGCAGTTCATCATTGAATTCAGTGATGTCATCATCCAGCTCAGTTCAGTTTAAATAGTATCTGTGCAATCAAGTCAACGATATCGCTGGAAATGAAGTGTCCCCAACTAAGCAAGCCAGAGGCGACAGCGGCAAGGAACCAAAACTCCACTGGTGACAGAATGGAGAAAAAACCTTCGGAGAAACCAGGCTCAGTCGGGGGGTCAGTTCTCCTCTGGCCAGATGAAACCAGCAGTTAAATTTCAGGCTGCAGCAAAGTCACATTGTGCAGAGGACTCAACTGGCTCCTGTGGTCTTGATTCCAGAGTTTGGGCGCTAAATAGGAAAAGGATCTTCTGCCCGCATGTGTTTGTAAAAGCCAGATTGTTTGAATTCATACAGAATCATTGACTTGTAAAGTACTTACGAATTTGAGAACAGGTTGGAAGATGCAGCAAATAGTGGATGTGTACAAATTTATACGAAATCAATGAATCGTAAAGTCCTTACAAATCTGAGATAAGTTTGAAGATGCAGTCAATAGACGATTTGTACTATTTTATACA